GTGAGAAAGGAGATGGAGGGAAGGAATTAAATTGGTTAGGAAGCAATACTTGGGGAAAACTCAGTACTGAAGAATTGCAATTTGTTTCCTTTTTATTAAAAGTCATGACCCTGAACAATCCCTAACCATAACGTCTAAGTAGTTTTGATGTGGGCCCTGTGAATTCAACTCTTCCTAACATCAACATCTTATATTTGCTACAATGAGTAAGTGGAGCTATGCCTCAGGAAGATAAGCAAAAGTTCAAACTGTTGATGTACCGACTAGTCTGGAAGCCTTTATAAAATCTAAGCAAAACTAGGCCGGCGCCGCAGCTCACTAGGCTAATCCTCCGCCCTGCGGCGCCGGCACACCGGGTTCTAGTCCCGGTCGGGGCGCTGGATTCTGTCCCGGTTGCCCCTCTTCCAGGCCAGCTCTCTGCTGTGGCCCGGGAGTGCAGTGGAGGATGGCCCAAGTGCTTGGGCCCTGCACCCCATGGGAGACCAGGAGAAGTACCTGGCTCCTGCCTTCGGACTGGCGTGGTGCGCCGGCCGCAGCGCGCCAGCCGCGGCGGCCATTGGAGGGTGAACCAACGGCAAAGGAAGACCTTTCTCTCTGTCTCTCTCTCCCACTGTCCACTCTGCCTGTCAAAAAAAAAAAAAAAAAAATCTAAGCAAAACTCGGTCTACATTTTGATACCATTAACAGATGCAGGAACCACGAGAGATGGTGCAGATTTAGGACAATAGATGAATTTAGTTTGATAAACACGGCTCTAAAGAGTCAACTAGTTATTCACAAGAAGATACTCAACAGAGAGTTGAAACTGAGTTCTAAGAGCTAACAGAGAAATAGAAAAATCACATGTGAAAGTGTGCAATACAAAGTCTGGATCCCTATATCCAGTGCTTCAGTCACACAAAGCCACCCGTAATTCCCCAGCAGAGGTAGCTACCCCAGCCCTGACTCTAAAAAATAAACATTTTTCTGTAAAGACAGACACCCACTTCATACTTGGGTCTTCTTCCAGAATGCTCAGATGTCTTTTTCCCAAAGCCTACTTAGCTAACAGAAGGACAGTACCTGGGTCCTACCTCTTTGTGTATACATACCCAGTTTTTAGCAGCATGCCTAAAATAGCACGCACTTGAAAGACAGACTGAAACAGCAGACTTGGCATGTGCTCAACAAGCTGTGGAAGGCTCTGTATCCCCTTAGAGGTGACCGCTGAAGAAATGAACTTGGCTGACATTGCCAAAGAAAAGAAAACCAAGTAGTCCTAAATATAATCATCACAGAACCTCTTAATCTAGGAGCAGTTCCCAAAGATGTTTCTTGATTCTCTCAGGTCTGAATACCTCCTGTGTTACACAGGGGTCATTACTTCTACCTCACAGGTCATGGGGAGGATTATTGAGATAGCATATGTGAGTATAGAGCAAGCACCTGCTCTAAAGTCTGGCATCCAATTACATTTCCTTCCCTTCCTCAACTCCTTCTGAAAACATTAGAGCTTCATTCTTTCTCTGCAACTTTAGTAACTACTATATCCCGAATACCAACCTAGCCTAGAAAACAAAAAACAAAACAGATGTGTGAGAAAGGGAGGCTAGCTCTGCCAGATGCCTTCCTTTGCGCAGTTTCTCAGCCTCTACACTACTGACAATTTTGGCCAATTTTTTATTATAGGAGGATGTACTGTGCATTGTGGAATGTTCAGCAGTATCCTTAAACTACACACCAGCATCCAGGAGCACTCCCTACCAAAAACGTCTCCAAACTTTGCCAAATATCCCTGAGATGGGAACAATTTCCCCTGGTTGAGAAATACTGCCCTAGAGCTAACTGGAATTCTCACAGAGCCCTAAATTCTTTCTCTGACATCTGAAAATATCTTTGTTCCCCACTGACTGACCCTACACATTTACACTTAGACTTTATAAGCCATTCTCTTTAACAATCAACCAAAATTGGTAATTATACCTTAATTGTAAAGCACGTTATCAAAAATTCAGTGTAACTCAAGGAAGTATCATGCTACAACCTGGAAAGCCAAAGTAATACAGTATAATAAAAGAACCAAACCCAAAAGGTCTCCACTCAAAATTTTTTCTGTCCCAGTATTCTCAAAGGGTCTAATATCTTAACTTCTTGTCTACAGGTTGCACTGTATTAGCTGCTAAGGAATTTTACAAGTTTTAAATAGACACTAATGACATATAAAACATATAGATATAGCAAGAGAAATAGATATAGATAGATATATGCCTGTTTCCTTGTTGGTAAAATGTAGGTAATTAACATAATAGGGTTGTTATGGAGTTCAGTTAAAATATATACAGTGTTTAAACAGTACCTGGCATCTACATATGTAAGTATAAAACAATATTTATCATCATGTTTAAGGATGCATAAGCAAAGAAAAGCCTATATTGCGTAGTGGTGTAAAAGCAGGCAAATATTTTTATATGCCTACAATGCAGTAAAATAATAAATTTGTATTCACATGCCCTGGGTTTATATTTCTGTTCCTTAACTAATTGTTTCATTTGGCCTTCAATATCCTCATCTGTAAAACAGGAGTAATTCTTTTCTTATATCTTTGAGCTGTCCAACAAGGTAACAGGAAAGCACTGTGAAAATTGATCAGCCTTGGGCCGGCACCGGGGCTCACTAAGCTAATCCTCCACCTTGCGGCACCGGCACACCAGGTTCTAGTCCCGGTTGGGGCACCGGATTCTGTCTCGGTTGCCCCTCTTCCAGGCCAGCTCTCTGCTGTGGCCAGGGAGTGCAGTGGAGGATGGCCCAGGTGCTTGGGCCCTGTACCCCATGGGAGACCAGGAGAAGCACCTGGCTCCTGCCTTCGGATCAGCGCGGCACGCTGGCCACAGCGGCCACCGTTGGGTGAACCAACGGCAAAGGAAGACCTTTCTCTCTGTCTCTCTCTCTCTCACTGTCCACTCTGCCTGTCAAAAAAAAAAAAAAAGAAAGAAAGAAAAAAGAAAAAGAAAATTGATCAGCTTCATCTATAAAGATTTATTTTGTTAATGGAAGATCTTAGAGTTCCATGACAGTAGGGAAGAGTTCCATCTGTCTCCCAATTTGGTGGGGAAAATCAGTGAAGGAGACTTTCAAGGAAATACTCTAATAAAGGGACAAGTAGGGAAACCGTACACCTTGAACTCAGGTAGGTGTGTTTCAAAAGTCCTTGTTTTAATCTGCATATACAAGGATACTTCAAAAAGGTCAAGAAAATGATAATTATCTTTTAATTCCATTTTTCCAAAACTTGTTGAAGTGCCATCCTAGTCTGAAAATTTTTAAATAAAAAAGACATACAGAATTATTATTTTTGTTTATACTCTTGGTATAAGGTAGGCACATTAATCTTTCGAAGTTAGTGGGGATACATTAAAAGCACTGGCAGGAGGCCCTGCGCTGTGGCATGGCAGGTGGAGACTGCAGTGCCGGCATCCCATGTGGGCAGTGGTTCGAGTCCTGGATGCTCCACTGTCAATCCAGCTCTCTGCTGTGGCCTAGGAAAGTAGTGGAAGATGGCTAAAGCCCTTGGGCCCCTCACCCATGTGAGAGACCTGGAAGAAGCTCCTGGCTCCTGGCTTTGGATCTGCGTGGTTGCGACCGTTGCTGTTATCTTGGGAGTGGACCAGTGTGTGGAAGACTTACTTTATTTCTCTCTCTCTCTCTCCCTCAGCCTCTCTGTAACTCTGCCTTTCAAATAAATAAATCTTTAAAAAAAAAGAACGAGAGAGCACTGGCAGGATTTGTCTCTCTCCTTTCAAAACAGTATGAACACACTACGGTGTCCCTAAATGACGTTTTCAGTTAGGAATGAATCAATCTTCTGGAAGCGAAGAAGAGTTGGAAGAAATGGAATTTGTATAATCAGTAGTGTTTCAATAGCTTTAAATTAGTTTGATATGTTTATTTTTAGACTTAAAAAAATCCCCGCCTTCCAACGAACACTTCAAAATCATCAAAGACTGTGCCGCTGCACTTTATACTTGCTAGGAAGGCAGTTTTTAACAAACGACTTTTTGTAAGTTAAAGTTGCAACATCAATCATACATGAGACTGGTGTTGGGGAAAGAAATTCTAAACTGCCGCCAAAAAAAAAAAAAAAAAAGCAAATAAAAAGGAAAACGAGCCCTTCCCATCCACTCAGCCTGCAAAGCCTCCCAGGTCGGGTATGGGTCTCCGACAGAAGGTCTCCAAAGGTGCCAGTTTTCAAAGTGCGTATGCATTAGGTCAAGGCACCCTTCCTCGACATTTGTCAAAAAATTCCCAAGAATTCTGTTTGTCCCGGAGCTGGACACAGGCCTTCTCCCCGCTTTCCCTCAGGGAAGCGAAGGTGGCTGCCTACGGACGCTGCTCCGGACCGGTCCTCCAGGGTCGCACCAGTCCAGCAGCGCGGGACGCACGTGGTGCCTGCAATCGGCTTCAGTTCCCCCCACTACCACCAACCACCTTCGGCCGCCCTGACTAGCGGAGAGCTGCCAGAACCGGAGCTGCACTGGAGCGGACGACCAGTCAAGTAAACTTAGATGGGGACGGGCGAGGGGTCGCGGCCACGCGAGCAGCTCCCTGAGTGACAGGTCGGGCGTGCTGGCCCCATGCAGGCAGGCAGCCGGACACCACCGAACGCCGGGGCTGCGCAACCCCACGTGGGCCCTAGCTTGCTGAAGGCGCCGTCACCCTCCTCCCCACTTCGGGCAGCGCTCACCTCAGCGCTCGCGGCGCCTCCACCTTCAGTTTTTTGGGCTTTGGCTCTTCCTCAGCAGCTGCCATCTTCGCGCTCCCACCCTACTTGGGCTCCACCGACCGCCCCACCCCCTCGTCCCTCTGAGCCCGCCCCCTCCACGCATCACCGCCTTTTTTCTCCAAACCCCGCCCCCCGAAACACCGCCCATTCCATGACTCTCTCACCCACCACCATTGGCTCTACCCCTGTATGGCCCCGCCCCTCGTGGCCCCACCCACTCCACTGTAGGGGACCCGAGACTGAGTTAGGCTGCAGATGAGCGCCTGAGTCCAAACGGTGCGGAATCCCGCCCTTTTTCTAGATCCTAGGTGAACTAGCAGACTTAAATCCCAAACATTAAGAAATTTCTTTTCTCTCACCTAACGCCTATCTTGCTATTTAATCTTTCTAATTCGGGAGACCGAGTTTGAGTCTTTGAAGCTGTTAGTCAGGCGATCTTCTGGGCACTCCAACTGCGGGGTCCTCACGGCTTTCTCTGCTGCCTCAGCTTTGGTCCGGAGAGGACCCGGCGCCGAATCAGACTGACTGGCCTGGGTGTCCGGGTGAGTGCGGAGACTGGGGAGTCTGCAGACAGGGGACAGCTGGGTAGTAGGCTGAATGGCTGAGGCTCTGGGCCCCAGGAGCGTCTCTGTTGCTGCGACCTGGAGCCGCACCTCTCTCCGGCTCCCGGCCTTCCGGGCTTTCCTGCCAGCTGGGCCGGAAGAGAAAGATGCACCTGCAGGGCAGTGTTCCCAGGCACAAGGTCCTGCTTGTAGGCGTCCTTCTCCGTGCTCCCGGACGGGAAAAGGGTCTTGTTGCCTCAGGGAGCTGGAGTTCTGACTATTCGAATTAGCCCCAGGGTTCCTTTTTGGATGACAAAACTCCTAATGGCCCTGAGCGGACATCCTGTTAGAGGGTGGAGAATACTAGGAGGATGTTGCCGTTGTTCCGAAGAAAGGTGACTGTGGAAAAGTGGGCAATGTGGCATGTTGGCTTTAGATTCGTTTGCACCTGAATTTACAGCCTATTTGATGAAGAAGGTGATGTCAGTATAAAATTGGGAGCCATCACAAAAGGAGAAGGGGTTGTGTGGAGTTGTGGGATTTATCGAATTGGAAAGAATGTTTTAGGTGGAGATTAGCAGAGATTAATTTTGTGTGCGGAGGGGCGACCTCTGAGAACTAAACTGGGAATTAAGTTTCAGGGTGAGAAACAAAACCATGACATTCCGTAGAGTATGATAAGAAGCCTTTGTGGTGTGTTCAGGAAGGTTATCAGACACATGAAATGCTGCAAGAGCCCAAGCAGGAAGCTGAAATCGAAGAGTAAGTAGTAAAGTGTTGAAGGCTAGAGAATCTTTGGACCGTTTGAGAGAGCTGCTTTAATAATGCAGTGTAGACTAATCCTTCATCATTTGGGGCATGAAGCCCGATTACTCAGAGTGGTGAGATGAAAAGTTTGAGGTTTGATTGTTTCGAATACAAGACATGTGTTTGGGAGTGGAAAGCAAATAATCAGTGTGCTGGATTAAGGGTTCTAGAAAGAGAAGAGAAAATGCCGGATGAGAAGGAAGAGGATGATATGGTACCAGTGGGTGAATTAATTTTGAAAGAAAATGAACTTTTTTTTTGTACAGATTTATTTATTTATTTGAAAGTCAAAGTTACACAGACAGATAGAGAAAGGTCTTCCATCTGTTGGTTCACTCCCCAATTGGCCACAACTGCCAGAACCGATCCGAAGCGAGGAGCTTCCTCCAAGTCTCCCACGCTGGTGCAGGGTCCCAAGGACCTGGGCCATCTTCTGCTTTCCCAGACCATAGCAGAGAGCTGGATGGGAAGTGGAGCAGCCAGGACTCGAATCGGCGCCCATATGGGATGCCGGCACTGCCGGCAGCGGCTTTATCTACTGGCTACACCACAGTGCCGGCCCCAGACGTTTTCAAGTCAGACCATAGGAAAAGTGGAGCAAATGAAGAATTACCTGAAACTTACACATCATTAGTAGGGGAGCTCTCTACAATAAGGATAGTTTTTCTTATCAAGCCTTCTTATAAACCTTGTGATTTTTATATTCAACAATATACTAGATATTTGTAAGTAGCTCTGTTTTATCTCAATTCATGAGTAGCAAATGGTATTTTTTTTAAATTCTCTATTTTTTTCTTTTCTTTAAGATGTATTTATTTATCTATTTGAAAGTCAGAGTTACATAGAAAGAGGAGAGGCAGAGAGAGGCCCTCAATCCGCTGGTTCACTCTCCAATTGGCCACAGTTGTCAAGAGCTGCGCCGATCTGAAGCCAGGAGCCAGGTGCTTCCTCTGGGTCTCCCACACAGGTGCAGGGCCCAAGCAATCGGGCCATCTTCTGTTGCTTTCCCAGGCCACAGCAGAGAGCTGGATCAGAAGTGGAAAAGCTGGGACTCAAACCGGCGCCCATATGGGATGCCGGCACTGCAGGCGGTGGCTTTACCTGCTATATCACAGCACTGGCCCCGTAAATGGTATTTTTGGAAAAGAGGCTTTCCATTGCATTATACAGAGAAAACAGAAGCCATCATTTTCCTGAAACCAAATACAAACTTTCTTCTCTTCTATTTGAAGAGTTAAAAGGGTCCCTTCTCTTTAAATCACATTGACTCCCAACGCCATCCTCTCCCGTGTCCTCAAGGCCTTTCTTTCATTTATTCCCTCACTCCTGCGTCAGCTTTTCCCTCTCTGTCCATACCATCCTTTAAACCTTGAGAAATATTCTTCTTACCTTTCAGGATCTACTCCATTTTTTTTCCTGTCTTCCTTTTCTTCTGAAAGATTTATGTATTTACTTGAAAGGCAGAGAGAGAATGCTAGCTTCCATCTACTGATTCACTCCCCAAATGACCACGATGACCATGGCTGCGCCAGGCCAAAGCCACGAGGCTTCTTCTGGATAGCAGAAGCCCAAGTACTTTCACCATCTTTTTCTGCTTTCCTAGGCACATTAGCAGGGAACTGGATTGGAAATGGAGCAGGCTGGACTCGAACTGGTGCTCATACAGGTTGTCAGCATTGTAGGTGGCGGCTTAACCCACTGCACCACGGTGACAGCCCTTTATTTTCCTGTTTTTCAATTCCCTTTACAGCTGTATCTTTAGAATTTATTCATCTCTCTTTTTTCCTATTTGCTATTTATTTCTCAGGCCACTGCAATGCCTTTATTCCAGTTTTCCACTGAACTACCACTAAAACCCCTTTTACCAAGATCACCAGTGTCCTCTATGTATTAAAAATGCATCTCCATGTGAGAAAAAATTGTGTCTTGTGAGACAAAGAACATTATATTCCTCTTATTCTCATTCAACAAATAGTTTTGAATACAGTTTGTATACTAGACACTTGCAGATATAAGGAGGAACAACATAGAGTTCCTCCAATTACAGCATAGATAGGTTTATGTACTAATGGATGATAAACAAAGTATTCTGAGGTATCAAATTTTTCTGGGTTTGTTAATTAACTCAGTCATTCCACATTTTATTCATAAATTATAACATCACATACTGCATATGTATAAATACAATTGTCAATTTCAATTTAAAAAATAAAAATTTTTAAAAAGTTTTTTAGCGGTGAGATTTGATTGGTAGTCTGTGGGTAAGTGGAATCTAACAATATTTAGTTCACTCTGACTTTCAAAGTAAATAAAATAAATTTTAAAACAAATGTTTATCCTTTCATTTTACTCTATCCCAATTGTCAGCATCTTACTCTAGGCCATGACCATCATTTGTGTCTCAACTAGTGCAACCATGTTCAGTGCCCAGTTATCCCGTTTCTTCAGTGTGATTAATGTAATCTTTCCAAACATGAAGGTCAGATTGCCTGAGTTTACACTGCATGAGAATAAGGCTCAAACTCCTTAATGAGGATTGCATTGCCCTATGAATCACTGTCTACCTTGTTCTTACCTCTCATTGCACCACTGTCCTGTACCTGCCAGAGTAGCTAAGTTTATACTGACTTTTGTGTGTGTGCTCTCACCTCCAGGCCTTGTAGATTCTCATAACACACCATATTTCCCCTATCAAGAAATTCTGGGCCGGCACTGTGGCTCAATAGGCTAATCCTCCACCTCGCAGCGCCGGCACACCGGGTTCTAGTCCCGGTCGGGGCACCGGATTCTGTCTCGGTTGCCCCTCTTCCAGGCCCGGGAGTGCAGTGGAGGATGGCCCAAGTGCTTGGGCCCTGCACCCGCATGGGAGACCAGGAGAAGCACCTGGCTCCTGCCTTCGGATCATGCCGGCTGTGGCGGCCATTGGAGGGTGAACCAACAGCAAAAAGGAAGACCTTTCTCTCTGTCTCTCTCTCTCTCACTGTCCACTCTGCCTGTCAAAAAAAAAAAAAAAAAAGAGGAAGAAGAAATTCTAACACATTTATCATTTATCTTATCTGCTGAAATCCACATGCTGTGCTTAGGGGAACTGTTTCACTCTACCTTGTATCCAGAACTGCCTAGTATATAAGACGTATTTGGAGCTGTTTATTGAAATGAACAAGTGATTACAATATTGTCTAATGTTCAGAGGAGCTAGATACTTTTCTGGAGTCATTCTCTCATTTTGGATATAGGCTCTTCTCTGCCTCTATTTTTTAAATATGGAGAATCAATACATTTTCTCCTTTAGATACTATGTTCCAGTTATATTTTGACTATTGTAATTTTATTGCTTGTAAAACACCAGGAGGAGTATACAGCATTTAATCCATGGGATTTATAGAGTATTTTAGCAGCAGTCAAAAATGTGATGAAATGACCTCTGAACCCAGTTTTTCTCTTGAGAATACACTGGAAGAATTCTGTTTTATGACTCAAAAGTCACCAGGAGCACAAAGATGGTTGTGGTGATAGTGACTGTGTAGCTTTCCCTGAAGCTTATTAAAATAATAAAAGAAGTAATTCCACCTATTAAAAGGATGATGTGTTGCTAAGGAATGGAATGATTATGCTGCCACATATATTATTGTTATATGCATTAGGCCCTTCGTGATAATATGCATAGGAGAAATAAACCCTTTTCCTAGGGCCGGCACCACGGCTCAATAGGCTAATCCTCCACCTAGCGGCGCCGGCACACCGGGTTCTAGTCCCGGTCGGGGCGCCGGATTCTGTCCCAGTTGCCCCTCTTCCAGGCCAGCTCTCTGCTGTGGCCAGGGAGTGCAGTGGAGGATGGCCCAAGTGCTTGGGCCCTGGACCCCATGGGAGACCAGGATAAGCACCTGGCTCCTGCCATCGGATCAGCGCGGTGCGCCGGCTGCAGCGCGCCAGCCGTGGCGGCCATTGGAGGGTGAACCAACGGCAAAAGGAAGACCTTTCTCTCTGTCTCTCTCTCTCACTGTCTACTCTGCCTGTCAAAAAACAAACAAACAAAAAAACCCCTTTTCCTGTTAGAGAAGGTTCAGATGGGTTTTAAAGCTAAGTACTTTTGAGGCCTGCAAGTGTTGTGCTTTCATCTCAGCACTGAGGATAACAACAATAAATTCAGCAGGCTGGTTTAACTTACTGTATTCTTCTGAAACCTGAACTACTGCCAGTAAAAACAACTTTAATGGAAACTTTCCTGGAAAGAATTTACCAGCTTAAGAGGATGAATAGAGATCTGGCCCTAAAATAAAGTAACTCCAAAGTGACTTGCTTCAAGAACTAGCAAGTCTTTTAGGGTATGTTGTGGCAGTGAATACTTAGGTCCATGTGAACGACATACTTTCTGTAGGGTGATAGTTGTCAGCTCTTCTAATCATAATTTCTCCTCTAAATAATTGATTAAACTTCCTCAGCATAAAAACTAGACCATATTTTGGTTTCTAAGTAAACAAGAAGCATATGATTTAAGAGGAAGAGTTGAAGCATAAGTTAAAACAGCACATTCACTGCACTACCAGTTTTTAAACTTTAACTTAATTAATATTTAAGTATATCAGTTGCATTAGCCATGTTTCACATGCTAAGTAGCCACATGTATCTAGTGAACCGCATATTGGACAACACAACTAAAGGATATTTCCATCATTGCAGAAAACTTTGTTGGATAGTGCTGCATAATAAGGCATTTATACATCTCTAAGAAGCAGGTATGAGCAGTGGCTTAGGATTCATCTGGACCTAGATTTCATTCCTAGCTCTGATACTTACAGTGTGATTTTAGGTAAGTGACTTACCTTTTCTGAGACTGTTTTGCCTTATCTATAAAACAGAGATAAAAGCAGTTTCTAACAGTATTGGGAAGATTAAATGAAAACATAGGTAAAGTGCCCAATGTAGAGTCTGGCCCACAGCAAGTATTTACATTTTAGATGTTTTTAATTCATTTATCTTTAATGTATAAAACACGTTGAGGGGCTGGTGCTAATCTGCTGCCTGTGGTGTTGGCATCCCTTATGGATGCTAGTTCATGTCTCAGCTGCTCCACTTCTGATCCGGCTCTCTGCTATGGCCTGGGAAAGCAGTAGAAGGTGGCCCAAGTCCTTGGGCCCCTGCACCCACATGGGACACCCAGAAGTGGCTCCTGGCTTCAGATTGGCCCAGCTCCGGCCATTGCAGCCATTTGGAGAATGAACCAGCAGATGGAAGACCTTTCTATCTATCTCTACTCTCTGTCTGTAACTCTACTTCTCAATAAATAAATAAATAAATAAATCTGTTAAAAAAAAAAAATTTGAGTGGGCCTGGAAGATTTATTTTTGTAAAGGATGTCATGTTCCATAGCTGGCTTTCACTCAAATCTTGGTTCACACTTCATATTTCACGTAAAGATTTTGTCCTAAGAAAAAGGCATATTAAATAAAACACATTATTAAATAAAAATTTAGTTCAGATCTCATCATTGGATATTCCTGTTCCATTTTTTTCAGAGTTTAACAGTTGAGGTTATAAAGTCAACAGATTCTATATAGCTGTCTGTGTATTCAGGGGCAATTGTAGTAAAGTCCAGATAGAAATACAAGGCTGACACCAAGCAGGTCTACCAAGCAGACCATCTGATTAGATTATCTAATGTAGAAAAATTTAGCAGGTCCTAAGCCTGAGGTGTCACAGTTTACCAGATCAAGTTGATTGCTTATAGAGATAGCCTTGAAAAAAGAAACATTTTTGTTTCTAATGAAAAGATCTCTAAATCATTAACTATTCATTTTTCATTAATATAGTAATACTAAAACATGCCTTAGAAATTGGTGTTATTTACTTGGTAACTATTGAACACATACCAAATGGGAAGAGGAAATCATTACTAGATGGTCTTTAAATGTCAGCTGCTTTCATAAAATAAATGATTTCCTCTGAAAAGAATGGGTCAGTGTGATGTCATTGTTTTATGTGTCAACAGAGCTGAATGAGTCAATTCTGAAAAGGCTTCTTTTCCACATACAAAATTTATAAATTTTGAAATTTATCTTATTGCATAGAATCTGTATTCATGGATTTTAAATTCTTTTTTAAAAAAATATTTATCTGAGATGTAGAGTTACAGATAGAGGAAGAGACATAGTGAAAGGTCTTCTATCCACTGGTTCACTTCCCAAATGGCCACAATAGCTGGAGCTGGGCCAATCTGAAGCCAGGAGCCAGGAGCTTCTTCCAGGTCTCCCACGCAGGTGCAGGGGCCCAAGGATTTGGGCCATCTTCTACTGCTTTCCCAGGCAACAGCAGAGAGTTGGATGGGAAGTGGAGCAGTCGGGACTAGAACTGGCACCCATATGGGATGCCAGCATTACAGGTAAAGGCTTAACGTACCAGACCACAGCGCCAGCCTCATTCTCTTTTATTTTTTAATTAAGAATTAATTAATTAATTAATTTCAATTTGAAAGGCAGAGATAGAGAGGAAGATCTTTCGTCCTCTGGCTCACTCCCTAAATGGCTCCAATAGCCAGGGCTGGCCAGACCAAAGACATTCCATCTGGGTCTCCAAGTAGGAGGCAGGGGCCCAAGCACTTGGGTCATCTGCTGCTGCCTTCCCAGGTTCATTAGCAGGGGGCTGGAAAGGAAGTGTAGCAGCCAGGACTCGAACTGGGGCTTATATGGGATGCTGGCATTGCAAGGGGTGGCTTAACCCACTGTGCCACAACACCCCCACCATGTTAAGCCAAATGTTTGATAATGATGCTTTTCCATGTAAAAGACAAAAATTAGGTATACATGTTTCCAGTCTCCCATATTGACAATAAGCTTTTTATTTGAAGCATAATATCCAGAAAAGCATATGAATGATAATGTAAAGCCCAATGAATTAGCACAAAGTGAACACAACTTGTAAACATCATTCAGAGCAAGAGTAAACATTACCAGCACCTTAGAAGACCAGCTTCCTGCCCCTGTCCGTCACTACTCCTGCTCCTCCATAAAGAACACCAGGAGATTCTGATGCGCCAGATTAGCTTTGCCTGTTCTAGAACATCATATGTATGGATATTGCTATGCATATTTGGTATCTGGCTTATTTCTAAGATATATCCATGTTTGTTTTCTGCGGCAATTAATCATTTTCATTGCTGTATAATATTTTATAAAATGCTATAATTTTTCCATTGTGTGAATAAACATTTGAGTTGTTGCAGGTGCTTGCTGTTAAAAATGTATTTTTAATACATGTTTTTTGCTGCACATTTGTATACATGTCTTTGGAATCTGCCTAGGAGTAGCTTGTGTCACAAGACATGAAGAGTACATTTTTTGAAATTGAGATATAATTCACATACTAAAAAGACATCATTTTAAAGTGTACTATTTAATAGTTTTCAGTATATTTACATAGTTTTGCCACAATCAGCTCTAATTCCAGAACATTTTTATCACTTCAAGAAGAAATTCCAACTCCTTTATCAGTAACTCCCTGTTCCTGCCTCTGACTAGACTCTCTGCCTGTAACCACTAATCTACTTTGTTTCTACAGATATACCTATTCTGGGTATTTCATACAAATAGAATCATATATTAGGTGGCCTTTTGTCTGGATTCTTTTATGGTTCATCGATGCTGTGTATTTAAGTACTTAATTCCTTTTTATAGCTAATATTTCACATTTTGTTTTTTCATTCATCAGTTAATTGACATTTGGTTTGGCTTTTAATGAATCATGCTGATGTGAACATTCATGTACAAAATGTGTATCATTTGGAGTAGAATCATGCAGTCACATAACTCCAACTTTTTGAAGAACTCAAACTTTTCCATTTTCTCATTCCTACCAGCTGTGTGCCTGGGTTCTAATTTCTCCACATTTTGCCAACCCTTGTTATTCTCTGCCTTTATTATAGCTAGCCTAGTGTGTGTGAAATGTTACCTCCTTGTAATTTTGATTTGTATTTCATGAATGACTGGCCATTCATATGTATATTTTCTTTGGATGAATGTCCTCAAATTCTTTGCCCATTTTTTAATTGTCGGTTGTTATCAAAGTTCTTTATCTATAGGTAATATGCCCTTACCAGTTATATGGTTTCAAATGAGTTCTTTCATTCTGTGGGTTGTCTTTACTTTCTTCACAATGTCCTTTGAAGCATAAAACTTATAATTTTGATAAGACCAAGTGACTATTTTTTTCTTGCTTGTGCTTTTGGTGTCATATCTTAAAAAAAAAATTAGCTAATCCAGGGTCATCAAGATTTATGCATTTTTTCTAAGAGTTGTATACATTTTTTTTTTAAGATTTATTTATTTGAAAGACAAAGTTACAGAGAGAGGTAGAGACAAAAGAGAGAGAGGTCTGCTCTCTGTTGGTTCTCTCCCCAAATGGCCACAGCACCAGAGCCGAGCCCATCTGAAGCCGAGCCCATCCTTCCAGGAGTTCCTTCTGGGTCTCCCATGTGGATGTAGGGGCGCAAGGACTTGGGCCATCCTTCTGCTGCTTTCCCAGGCACATTGGCAGGGAGCTGGATCAGAAGTGGAGCAGCTGGGACTCAAACTGGTGCTCTTATGGGATGCTGGTACTGCAGGCGGCAGCTTTACCCGCTACACCACAGCACCAGCCCCTTCATTTGGGCATTTTAACAGGTAGACTAAATGCCTGACCCTGAAATTATTTCTTTAATTTTATTTTCATGCTATTTGTAGCTAATGAATAGCAATACAGTTCGTTTTTTTGGATTCATCGTCATTCTGCAATCTTGCTGAACTCATCTTTTAGCTCTACTAGTTTTTTGTGTCTAATCCTTAGGATTTTCTATATAAAAGATTGTATATTCTGCAAATACAGTTTTGCTCTTTCCTTTTCAATTTGAGAGCCTTTTTTTCTTCTTTTTCTTAATAATTGCCCTGGCTAGAACCATGTTGAATAAAAATGGTGAGAGTGGACAATCTATATTTGTGTTTTTTTTTTTGTTTTGTTTTGGTTTTTTTTTTTTTTTTTTTGACAGGCAGAGTGGACAGTGAGAGAGAGACAGAGAGAAAGGTCTTCCTTTTGCCGTTGGTTTACCCTCCATTGGCCGCCGCAGCCAGCGCACTGCGGCCGGCGCACCACGCTGATCCGATGGCAGGAGCCAGCTACTTTTCCTGGTCTCCCATGGGGTGCAGGGCCCAAGCACTTGGGCCATCCTCCACTGCACTCCCTGGCCACAGCAGAGAGCTGGCCTGGAAGAGGGGCAACCGGGACAGAATCCAGCGCCCCGACCGGGACTAGAACCCTGTGTGCCGGCGCTGCAAGGCGGAGGATTAGCCTAGTGAGCCGCGGCGCCGGCCTATATTTGTTCTTTTACTATTAAATGTGATATTAGTTGTGAGGTTCTCGTGGATGTCTTTATCAGGTTAGGGAAGTTTATCTTCCTGGTTCAAGCACTTGTTTTGTTTTCATGAAAAGGTCTTGGATTTTGTCAATGCTTTTTCTTTAATTTTTGAAATGACTATTTGTTTTGGTACTTGTATTAATATTCCATGTTACTTTGATTTGCTTATTTGAACCAACTTTTCCCTCTTGAAATAAATATCCCTTGGTGAGGGAATGTAGCCCTTTTTTAATATGTTACCAGATTCAGTTTTTTAGTGTTTTTGTCAGGATTTTTGTATCAATATTCCTTAAAAAATAAAAGATTTATTTATTTGAAAGGAAGAGTTACAGAGAGAAGGAGAGAAAGGTCTTCTAGCCACTGATTCACTTCCCATGGCTGCAGGGGTCAAAAACTTCTTCTCAGTCTCCCATGTGAGTGACAGAGGCCCACACGCTTGGGCCATCTTCCGCTGCTTTTCCCAGGCCATCAGCAGGGTGCTGGATCAGAAGTGGAACAGCTGGGACATGAACCAGCGCCCACTTGAGATGGCAGTGTTGCATGCGGTGGCTTAACTCTACACCACAGTGCCAGCCACTCTGTCAGTGTTCTTAAATGAAAATAGCCTGTAGTTTCTTATATTGCTTTGTAAGGTTTTGTATCAGGGTAATACATGGGCACTTTGTGACATTTAATAAAATTAAACCTTTTTCCCCCCCACAGAAAAATGATCCACAGTCTATTTCTCATTAACTGTTCCGGTGACATATTTCTGGAGAAGCACTGGAAGAGTGTTGTGAGCCAGTCTGTCTGTGATTATTTCTTTGAAGCTCAGGAGAAAGCTGCTGATGTTGAAAATGTGCCACCTGTCATTTCAACACCTCACCATTACCTCATCAGTATCTACCGGGACAAGCTCTTCTTTGTGTCTGTCATACAGACTGAAGTGCCACCTCTCTTTGTAATTGAGTTCCTGCATCGAGTTGCTGACACTTTCCAGGTTGGTTATGCATAAAACCGTTCTAATTTAAGTTGCACAAGTTAGCTGGAAGTGGGGCTCGTGATTAATTTGCAGCTTTTAGTGTATACTCTTTGTTTCTCACTTCTTAAACCTTTTTCTATAGAGTGTACAGTGTACACACGGCTACTCTGTTTGCTGTTTTTTAGGTATATTAAAAATTATGTCATCAGGCAATAATAGGGCCCTCCAAATAAAATTCTCTGGATATTCCCAAGATTTTTGTTGATTATGAACTCTTCTGTATTTACAATCTATATTTTTTCTTGTCTTGCTGTGTATACCAAATAATTTAAAACTTATCCATGTGTACTTAGGAGTAGTTAATCAGGACAAATGAAGTTTTTGTGGTGTTGTTTTTCAATGCTTATTTTTTTCATCTACTTGAAAGGCAGAGCAACAGAGAGAGCGAGCATGCTTCTTCTATCCACTGGTTCACTCCCCAGATGCCTGTTACAGCTGGGCCAGGCTGAAGGCAGGAGCCAGGAACTCTCTCTGGGTCTCCCACGTGGAAGGAAGGGAAGCACTTGCTATTATCCTCTGCCTCCTAGCATGCGGTATTAGGAAGCTGGATTGGAAATGGAGGAGCAGAGCTGGAACCAGCACTGTGGTACAGGGTGCAAGCGTTCCTAAGCAGCACTAAGCAGCCTACTCCAGCACTTAACACCTACCCAGGACAAGTGAAGTTTCTTGCTTACATGCCAGTTTAACATTTCTTTCTTTTTCTTTCTTTTTTTTGTTTTTAAGATTTATTCATGGGGCCAGTGCTGTGGCATATCGCATTAAGGTCCTGGCCTGTGGCGCCAGTTCGAGTTGTGGCTGCTACACTTCCAATCCTGCTCTCTGCTCAGGGAGATCCAGCAGGGAACTGGATTGCAAGTGAAGCAGCCAGAACTCGAACAGGAGCTGTAACTGTGGCTTAACCTGCTATGCCACAGCATAGGCCCCCAGTTTAACATTTCAGTACTTTTTGGTATAATGTATTAGGAATCAAGTTCATTCTAAAAACACTTTAGGGAGCAGGCATTTGCAGTTTAACATGCCAGTTTACACTTCTTCATTCAACATCAGAGTTTAATTTCCATCTCTGATTTCAGCTTCCCAATAATACAGACCCAGGGAGGCAGCAATGATGGCTTAATAATTGAGTTCCTAAAACCCATGTGAGAAACCTGGATTGAGTTCTTGGCTCTCGACTTAACCTTGACCCAGCCATGGACATTGTAGGCATTTGGGGATTGAACTAGTGCGTGGGAACTCTGTCTCTCTGTGTATGTGTGTCTGTCTGTCTCTGAAATAAATAATAAATTACAAAAATTTTGAGGAGTAGTGCTAGGACTAGAGGGGTTTCTTCCCTCTTGCTTATAGATTTTCAACATGTTAAAAAGTAAGTTACTTCACTTTAAGTTTATTCTGAGAAAAAGTATGTAGCAAATCTTCCTTTCTGCTTTTCATTGTGCAATATTCTATATATTTTGTTAGGACTATTTTGGTGAGTGTTCAGAGGCTGCAATCAAGGATAACGTGGTCATAGTATATGAGCTCTTGGAAGAAATGTTAGACAACGGATTTCCACTGGCTACTGAATCTAACATTTTGAAAGAACTGATTAAGCCACCAACAATTCTGCGTTCTGTTGTCAATTCTATTACAGGTAAGGTGAAAACATATTCCTCTAGCAGCTACAATTTTATAAACAACTTATTGGTACTTATGATCTGACAAATTATTAAAGTAGTAAAATTTGGCCAGAATTAGTTACTGGTATGCACTAAGTAAGAGGATTGGATAAATTATCCTAGGTAGTGTTAAAGAAGTCACTCTATGAAGCCACTGTGTGCCTAAAATTTAAACTCCCATGTAACACTAAGATTTTAGTAAACAGTTTCATACTTTGCAGATAATGTAGTAACACTGGAAATACTCATTCTAAAATTATTAAACAGGTTAAAAAAGACAGCTCAAGACCATTAAAAGTTGATCTTAATTATATATTGACATTCACAAAGACAAAAATCTAAAATGCTCACAGTATCTCAAGCTAAGGAAATACAGAATATATTTTTGCTTCATAATTTCCAACCTTCCAAAATAAACATATTTTTAATTAGAAAAATGTTACTATGTAGAATGTAAAAATTTAACATGTATCCATAGGGCAGTATATTGTAAAGTCCAAGAGGATAGTTCAGTATATGAAGTAATCCTTGCTGGACTGTAATAAGTAGCCTTCAGGCAGGGCCCTGGACAATCAGTAGAGTTAGAAAAAAAGCATTCTCCATAGGTATGAGGAAAAATACACATGAAGTGAAAACCTTGAGTTGTATTAACCCCTTTAATAGAAGCTGAGCTGTTTTTCAGATGCGTAGTGAGGGAAGTAATTTTAACAGCTGAGAAAGTCCTTGAATGTTAGGCTAAATATTTAGCTTTTATTGTAAACATGGAAGATTTTAAGCAGGAAAATAACATGATGAAAGCTATGGCTTTCAAAAATTCTTCTGGAAAGCAACAGGTTGGAGGCAGGAACACCAATCATAAATGGATTGCAAAATTGTATATATAGTATGAATACAAGTGCATTCAAAACAAAATTAACAAAATAGAACAAAATAGTAAATGCAACCTACATGGGAAAATGCTTAAAAACATAATGGTAATTGTACCTTGTTCGTAAGAAGATAGATTTTTTTAAACCACTTTATGAACTATGTCCCTCCCTTCTTGGGCAGAGGACAGTTAAGCATGTACTTGGATTAGAAGTGTAAAGTAACCAAAATGTTAAGTAAGTCAAAGCACGTTTTTTTGGACAATCACACAAGTGTTTGTGATTTACCATGCAATTAGATATTGAAGTTTAACCATATTGCAGCTAAATCAGTGTGCTGACCTGAAAATGGGAAAAGGCCAGAGCATGTTCTTCATCCAGTTTCTCCACTGAGGCCTTTTTGGCAGCATCTGGTATACAATTAAGCTGAATACCAAAGGGCCTATTTATCACTTTGTATTCTCAGTGGAGACATTTTATCAGCAAAAGATTTTGAAACAAACAACCTCTTTTCATCAGTGGCAGCAGGATGAGAGTCTGTTGTTGGGCCACTGGAATTAGTTATTGTTACTATTAACACACAGAAAGCAAAAGATAAGTAAATGAATTTAACCTGGTTTGTCAGACAGAGAACCACATGGCCTGTTTCTGTCTTTTAGAAGTTTGATCATATTGGTTATAGATACATCTTTGACATTTCTGGAGACCATCACAATTTCAGTGAGAAAAACACAGCATTTGAAGAAGCCACTTCTTTTTTTTTTTAATTTTGTTTTCTGATGATAGCTTTTCTGATAACCATTTTATATATCAGCTTTGCTTTCTTCTTTTACATTTCCTAGGCAGTAGTAATGTTGGGGACACACTTCCCACTGGGCAGCTGTCCAATATCCCATGGCGCCGGGCAGGGGTAAAGTACACAAACAACGAAGCCTATTTTGATGTCGTTGAAGAAATAGATGCAATTATAGACAAATCAGGTAATTTGTGCATGAGGTCCAATTTAGGGAAAAAACAATTCAGCCGACATAGGTTGAAAAGAAAATTAAAATCCTTTGGCAGTGTAATTTCAGTAGAAAGGCATTTATTTTCTAAGGATTTAGAACTCTGTTTATTTTGCCCAGAGGTTACATATAATTTTCATAACCACTAGTTGAAGTCTGCCAAACATTCGTAAATTAGAAATCATCATGCCTTACTTACAGATTAATTATTACTCTGTATACTTCTCTTGCTTGTTATTTATTTGTAACACTTACTGCATATCTATCATATTCCATACTTTTACTACTATTTTATATGCCGTACTACTAGCAGAGGCCTGTGTCTGACTATTTTTTAGCCAGACCAGGTGATGGTACTCTATCACAATCATAAAATTTAATTATTAAAAATATTCATAATATAACTAGGGTGACTGTAGTTCACAAAATTGTATTATATACCATATGAAGAACTGGAAAAGAAGAGCTGATAGGCACCAAACAAAACGAAAAGGAGGCCGGCGCCGCAGCTCACTAGGCTAATCCTCCGCCTTGCAGCGCCGGCACACCGGGTTCTAGTCCCGGTCGGGGCGCCGGATTCTGTCCCGGTTGCCCCTCTTCCAGGCCAGCTCTCTGCTGTGGCCAGGGAGTGCAGTGGAGGATGGCCCAAGTGCTTGGGCCCTGCACCCCATGGGAGACCAGGAGAAGCACCTGGCTCCTGCCATTGGATCAGCGCGGTGCGCCGGCTGCAGCACACCGGCCGCAGCGGCCATTGGAGGGTGAACCAACGGCAAAAGGAAGACCTTTCTCTCTGTCTCTCTCTCACTGTCCACTCTGCCTGTCAAAAAAAAAAAAAAAAAAAAGGAAGTAAACGCTTAGTTGCCTAGCTCAATCAATCCAGGCTCTGTATATATGTTGAAAGTATACCCCAAAGCAATAGAAGATGGCCCAAGTCCTTGGGTCCCTGCACCTGCATGAAAGACCCAGAAGAAACTCCTGACTCCTGGCTTCAGATTGGTGTAGCTCTGGCTGTTGCAGCCATCTGGGGAGTTAACCAGCAGATGGAAGACCTCTCTCTCTCTCTCCCTCTCCCCCTCTCCCCCTCTCTCTGCCTCTCTGTAACTCAGCCTTCAAATAAATAAATTAATCTTAAAAAAAAAGAAAGAAAGAAAAAAGAATACCCATAAAATGTGTAAGTATTAAATGTTTATCAAAAAATTAGTAAAATTATAAAGTATTTTTAAAAATCTAGTCCCATCATCACATTTTATACGTAAACTGAGGCTGGGGCTGGCACTGCAATGTAGTATGTTAAGCATCTGCCTGCAGCACTGGCATCCCATATAGGCGCCAGTTTGAGTTCCTGCTCCATTTCTGATCCAGCTCCCTGCTGATGGCCTGGGAAGGCAGAGATGGCCCAAGTTTTTGGGTCCCTGCACCCACATAGGAGATGCTGAAGAAGCTCCTGGCTCCTGACTTCTGGCTTTGGCCTGGCTTAGTCTCAGCCGTTGCAGCCATAAGAAAGAAAGGAAGAGCCTTAGAAAGGTTGAGTGATCCACTAAAGGTTGTATTTGATATGTGATGATAATTAGTGAATTTTAGCCAATATCTTTTTTTTAATAGTAATTGATAAAGGGAAAGGAATCCTTCCTTTCAGCTTTGCTTTTCTTTTTTTACAGATTTGTTTATTTATTTGAAAGAGTTACACAGAGAGAGGAGACAGAGAAAGAGATTTTTCCATCCACTGGTTCACTCCCCAGTTGGCCTCAACGGCCAGAGCTGCGCCGATCCGAAGCCAGGAGCTTCTTCCAGGTCTCCCACGCAGGTGCAGGTGTCCTAGGACTTGGGCCATCTACTGCCTTCCCAGGCCATAGCACGGAGTTGGTTTGAAGTGGAGCAGCCGGGTCTCGAACCAGCGCCCATATGGAATGCCGGTTCTTCAGGCCAGGGTGTTAACCTGCTACGCCACAGCACCGGCCCCTAGCCAATATCTTTTCTTCAGTGATTACTCTTTCCACTGTAGCATTCTGTCTACAGAAAAATAGATCATAGCTTCTATTTTTCTTTTTTTAAATGTTTATTTATTTATTTGGTAAGTCAGAGTTAGGGTGGTGAGGGTGGTTCACTCTGTAGATAGCTGCAACAGCAGGACTGTGTCAGCTCAAACCCAGGAGCTGGGAGCTTCATCGTGTCACCCATGTGGGTGGCAGGGACCCAGATGGAAAGTGGAGCAGCTGGAACACAACCTGGCACACATATGGAGTGCTGGCATTGCAGGTGGCAGCGTTACCCACTACATCACAATGCTTATCCCAAGTGGCTCCTATTTCTTAAAAGTTAGGAAGTAGTTTGCTGCATTTCCTAATAAATTTCCCTCATTTTTCAAGTCTGTTGTAACAATTTAAATTCATATCAGTAGTCTAAGTCTGTTGTAACAATTTAAATTCATATCAGTAGTCTTAGAAGGTGAACTCTCTAAAGGAGATAGGTTTGATTTTCATTAGCATTATCATATTCCAACCAGAGTTAGCTACAGACCATGGCACTAAATGAAAAAGCTCTCTGAACTGGTGTAATATATCCCCTGTCCACTGACCTGTTAATCGAGGTGCAAAGCTTCAGCAAGTCTGACACCCAGGGGGTGGCTCCATTACTCCAGATATAGTGATAGCTCTGCTAAAGACTCAGATTCCATTGATACTATCAATCTTTTTCTTTCTTCAGGATCTACAGTCTTTGCAGAAATTCAGGGGGTCATTGATGCTTGCATTAAGCTATCAGGAATGCCCGATCTCTCCCTATCTTTCATGGTAAGTTTTGTTTTCTTGTTTGCAGCAAAGGGCTACATTTATTCCTCCAGGTGGAAATTTCCAACTCATAATAGCATACATATGAAATACTCAATGAAGCGATAAGTACTACAACTAAATATTAAATGAGGTGATAAGTACTTTAGATAAGTTTGTATCTTAAGAGTGTAAAGGATCATCTGAGAAGTATTCCTAGCATAGCAGCTTTCAGGACAGTAGTTTACATGATGAGCCTGGCCTTTATGAAAAGGCTGAGAAGTCTTTGCCTACATGTGCTAAAAGTGACTTAAAAGTTAGCTGGCAAATCTCTACTTTAGTTTTCACTGAATAATTATCTGCTTTACCAACAGGAAAGGGCACTGGACTTTGTCTTATCATTTTGGACTTAGCATACCACACTGCAAAGAACAATGAAAAGAATTGAGTTATGGTGCTCTTTTACCAATTTGTCCTGAACCTCAGTTTTTTACCTATGCAATGGAACTAATATTATTCATCTTTGCTCCCTGGTAGTTATTGAAATTCAAATAATGTATATAAAATACTTGCAAATTGTGAAACGTTTAAGGTTCTGTGGATGTCATAATAACTAATAAATGCTCACATGACTTTTATCTTTTTGACATATAATAACATAGTTAAGGGCTACAGCGTGATAATACATTTACATAAACAGTGTATAATGATCAAATCAGTATAATTAGCATTTCTATCTTCTTAAATGTTTGTCATTCTTGCTATTGGGAACTTTCATATTCCTCTCTTCTAGTTCTTCATAAATCACAAATTGCTGTAGTCAGCCTACTGTGCTAGAACTGCAGAACTTACTCCTTCTAACTGTATTAGGAGATCCATCTTAACAGCCTCCCTCTGTTCTCCACCACCTTACTCCATCTACCTCTGGTAATCACTGTAATTTTTGGTGAGATCGACTTTAGCTTCTGCATATAAGTGAGAACATGTGGTATTTGTCTTTCTGTGCCTGGTTTATTTCATTCATGACTGCTTTATCTTTAGAAAAAATACTAATATCTCATAATACTGAACAGAGTTACCATAGCTGGTATACTTTATGAACCTGGCTGTCTTGTGTTTTCCTGGCAGAACCCTAGGCTTCTGGATGATGTCAGCTTCCATCCCTGCATCCGGTTCAAACGTTGGGAATCTGAAAGAGTTTTGTCATTTATTCCTCCAGATGGAAATTTCCGACTCATATCCTACCGTGTCAGCTCACAAAAGTATGTTGATGTGTCAGCCAGAATCTTCCATCATGTATCAGTGTACTGAATAGAACCTACTTTGCCTTGTTTCATTCTACACTTGGCTACTTGAGTTCATCATGGTTGACTTAATCACAACTCAACAAGATACCCAAAGAGAGGCCGGCGCCGCAGCTCACTAGGCTAATCCTCCGCCTTGCGGCACCGGCACACCGGGTTCTAGTCCCAGTCGGGGCGCCGGATTCTGTCCCGGTTGCCCCTCTTCCAGGCCAGCTCTCTGCTGTGGCCAGGGAGTGCAGTGGAGGATGGCCCAAGTGCTTGGGCCCTGCACCCCATGGGAGACCAGAAGTACCTGGCTCCTGCCATCGCATCAGCGCGGTGCGCCGGCCGCAGCTTACTGACTGCGGTGGCCATTGGAAGGTGAACCAACGGCAAAGGAAGACCTTTCTCTCTGTCTCTCTCTCTCACTGTCCACTCTGCCTGTCAAAAAAAAAAAAAAAAAAAAAAGATACCCCAAGAGAACTGATGAGAATACATGCCTGAAATAATCTGTACCTTGAATCTAAGAGTACATAGTAGCAGTAAATAAGACCATAGCAAAGCCTATGCCTGAGAACAAGCATTTTGGACTATGCATAACCAGAACCCGGAACTGGTACCATAATTTTATCAAAGTCTGTAGACATTTGGCCAACAGAAGGAGACAGGCCTTACCTTTAGCTCTGCAGACTTGCCCAACATGCCCACTTCAAGTCACTCTCTGCTGCCGTGAGTTTTAAAGGAACAATTCAGCATCGTAGCTTATATAGCTATTTTTTTCCTTGAAAGGATCTGAGGGTATTTGGGTGGTATCATCAAGACAGGACTGAAAAGCAGAGAAATGTTTCTTGGCTCTCATCATTTATATTAAATTCTAAATTACCTTTCAGTGGGATCTTTTTAAAAACTAGAACCATTTGTCTCAATTGCTTACACTGTTATTAGGCTTCAGAGTTGGGTTCTGATCTGTATACCTCCTGCTGAGAAATGATAGATTTCCTAGACCATAGTGGTACCAGAATGTGCTATACTCAGCTTTCCTTTGTGCAGATGCTAAAGATGCAGTTTTAGAAATATGGATCCCTACTGTGGAGTAGAAGCAGGGTAGAATACTCTGGACTGGTATTTTCAGGGCAGCTCTGAAGGTATCCTAACCATTAATTGTGTATGTATATGCTTTTGTGTCTTTTAGTCTAGTGGCAATACCAGTGTATGTGAAACATAATATCAGCTTTAAGGAGAACAGTTCCTGTGGCAGATTTGATGTAACGATTGGACCAAAGCAGAATATGGGCAAAACTGTTGAAGGAATTACAGTGACAGTTCACATGCCAAAAGTTGTGCTGAATATGAACCTGACACCAACACAAGGCAGCTATACCTTTGATCCAGTCACCAAGGTACAGCCACTTCAGATCAAGAGTGAGCAAGTGTTTCCTGAAATCTCTTTTGTGATTTGGGGGAAAGAGTAGAGGGGAGGTTTACCACCTTGTTTAAAACTAAAGTTCCTATCCAAACCAAACAAAGATCATACTAGGCTGTATTTCTGCCACTGGCTGTAGAGAGAATCCCACGTCTGCCCCTGAGTAGATAAACAGAGACGTGAAACTGACTCTATCTTCTTTCAAAGTACCTTTACTCATCTGTGATAACCCAAAGACTGTCTCTACTAATAAGAATGTAAAGGCTTTTTTAAAACTATTTATTTATTTATTTTGAAAGGCAGAATTACAGAGAGGCAAAGGCAGAGAGGTCTTCCATCCGCTGATTCACTTTCCAGATGGCTGCCATGGCCAGGCCTGGGCCAGTCTGAAGCCAGGAGCCAGGAGCTTCTTCCAGGTCTCCCACGTAGGTGCAGGGGCCCAAGGACTTGGGCCATCTTGTACTGCTTTCCCAGGCCATAGCAGGGAGCTGAATCGGAAGTGGAGCAGCTGGGATTTGAACCAGTGTCTGTATGGCATGCCAGCACTGCAGGTGGCAGCTTTACCTGCTACACGACGGTGCTGGCCCCAGTAAAGGCTTTTTTAAGTGTTTTGTGGATATATGAAGATACTATAATCTATTGTTAGATCTTTCTGTAGAAACCAACCATTATTTTGTTCCTTTTTTTTAAGGTTTATTTACTTATTTATTTGAAAGGCAAAACAGCAGAGAGAGGGGGTAGAGAGAGATCTTCCACCTGCTGGTTCACTTCTCAAAAGGTCCTGCCAAAACCAGGAGCCAGGAACTCCATCCTGGTCTCAAAAATGGTTAAGGGACCCAAGGACTTGAACCGTCTTCTGCTGCCTTGCCAGCCTCATTAAATACGCAAGCTGGATCAGAAGCAGAGCAGCCAGGACTCAAACCAGCACTCCACATGGGATGCCAGCATTAAAAGCAGTGGCTTAATCCGTTAGGCCACAGTGCCAGCCAGCCCCCTTTTAAAAGTTCTTCATTTCATATTCTTCCACAGGAGACATTGTTCTGCCTATTTACACATGCCTATAGCAGAAGATTATGAAGCAACTACAGCATAGTCATTGAACTGCCTGATAAAAAGGCTTTTTAAAGATGTATTTATTTATTTGAAACTCAGAGTTACATAGAGGGAGAGATAGATCTTCCACCCACTGGTTCATTCCAAGGGCTGGGCCAGGCAGGAGCCAGGAGCTTCCTCCAGGTTTTTTACATGGTTACAGGGCCCCAAGTACTTTGGTTATCTTCCATTGCTTTCTCAGGTGCATTAGCAGGAAGCTGGATTGAAAATGGAGCATCCAGGACTTGAACTGGTGCCCATATCAGATGCCTGCACCACAGGTAGTGGCTTAACCCACTGTGCCACAGCGCCAGCCCCAAAAAGGCATATTCTTTAAAAAGATGTATTTATGTATTTATTTGAAAGGCAGAGTGACACAGAGCTTCCATCCTTTGATGCACTTTGATATGGGATGCTGGTGTTGGAATTAGCAGCTTAACCCACTCACGGTACCCAAAGACATTTTTTTTTTTAATTAAAAGTCATAAACTGTTAAACATTATCTAACTCCATCCCAGGAATTCAAAGAAGCTCCTCAGAAACAACGCGGGACTGGGAAAGGGGGGCTCCGGATCTCGTGCCCTTCCAGGTAGCTTCAAACAGAACAGCTTCGCTTTCTCTTCTGCATCGAGCTTCCATGCTTAAGATTTCACTTGAACTTCTACAGCTAAAAATTTTCAAATACCAACTTAGATGATTCTCCCTTTACAGAAAAAGAAACAGGCTCAGAGAGAAGCAGTGAAGATGGTATAATAAAAAGAACATTTAAAATCAGATGGGATTTGTCAACTTCCAACTTGCCTTTTATTAGCGTTAAGCAAGGAATTTGACATCTGGAACCTTAAGTTCCTCATTTGCAAATAGAAAACAAGTTCAAGTCACATGCTTGTTTTTTATTTCTTTTTAAGGTACTAACATGGGATGTGGGAAAAATTACTCCACAAAAGCTCCCAAGTCTTAAGGGATTGGTAAATTTACAGTCAGGAGCACCTAAGCCAGAAGAGAATCCCAGCCTCAACATACAGTTCAAGATTCAGCAACTTGCTATTTCAGGTAAAAGTGTTTGGCTTTGTTTAAGGGTAACTAAGTTTCACTGAGCCCAGTTATTGGATAGTTAAAAAAGTAACAAACATTTCCTGCTATAGAAAAAGCAACAGCTCCAGTTTGCCTTTTAGGCTGTGCTGTAGGGCCAGCCTCCCTGGCATCAGTTGTGGAGAGCATTTATTTCGCTCAAGTTCCCTTAACCCCTGCCTTCGTTCACCCACCAGAAAAGAAGTCAGTCATAGTCACAGAAAGTAGAATTCCCTGCCTACATGGCAATCAACTAAAACCATAACCCCACAGTTCAATAACTTGTGAATGTAGGTGGGACATTTCCTGATAGTGGATGGAGTAGACGCTGCTTAAGGTCAGATTTACTGTATAGGCTCATTGCTTAAATACACATTTTATCTATCTAGTATTGGTTCGTATAACTGAGATGTAGTAATTTATTCCTTTCATTCTTTTTGACACAGGCTTAAAAGTAAATCGCTTGGACATGTATGGGGAGAAATATAAGCCATTTAAAGGAGTCAAATATGTCACGAAAGCTGGAAAGTTCCAAGTGAGGACATGAGAAGAGGCCAGAAGTAATCAAGATCAGTTTCTTTTCCAAGTGTCATTACAATTTATTACTGTTAGATACCAAGTGGGTGGGAATACATATTCTAGTTAAAGCATTTGTGTAGAGCTACACACCACTAACAAAGTTGCTTAGTACTCAATGTAGGGTTCTTAAGGAGCTTTAAGCTAAGGAGACTTTTCTAATAACTTAGCTTATTTTCTATCTTTTCACTTGGGAAGATTTTGAAGGTGATTTCTTCCACAGGGGAAGGGGGTATCAGCTGGATGCTGCACATTGTGACAGTAAAGGCAGAAGGCTACAGTGATAACCTATCTCCTAAAACAAGTGAACTGGTTTCTAGTCCAGGAGGAGCTGTCTTAATCTGCAACGTGACATGTCAGGTGTAGCTACATATCATAGCCTCAGATCTTAGCCATCCCAACTCAGTAGCTGTCCCAACAGAGGAAACTCCCCCCACGCCCCGACGTTTACAGAAACTGCCTCTTCAAGTGTTTGCCTTATTCAGCTTTTCACTTGTGCCATTAAGCAAGCACTGTAGCAGAAGCCACTTCCACATGGCCCTGGCAGGGAGCACTGCTGCTCCATGCTCCATCCTCACTGTACTTGGTATTGTATTTTTTATAAATAAGAATTTTTATGTAAAGCTCAGATTTTGATTTACAGGGACCTTGCTGCAGTAACTATCATCTCAATTTTGTGCCACTGGTTCAGCTGTTAGCACAGGAAAAATCATTTGTATGATGGGGCAAATGCTTTATTAAGATAATAAAAGGGAACACTACTTCTCCTTTTAGGAAGTTGTTGCAAGCACAAGTGTTTGCAGTTTTAAGCAAATTAAAGTAAAGAGAAACTTAAACAAAACCTTTGCCATCTTCCTGTTTTATAAAGCTTATCCAATACCCCTTAAACCGAAGTAGTCTGCCTCCTGCCCCAGTTCAGCAAAAGGAAGAAAATGAACCTGCCTCAATTTTATTAATCTTTTTTTATCCTTTTTGTTATTTTTAAGGGGCTGAATTTGCCTGCATCCCTTGTCTTTTAGGGGAACTCTCTTATTGCAGTATGTATTTACCAAGCCTGTAATCATAGATTGCTTCCTGCAACTACTGTCATAATTCTTACTGAAGTACTTCAGTGTCTACACTGTACTAACAAAGTACCTGGAAGTATATTACATTGAGGCAGAAACAAAATCCTCAGTAACCCTGACAATATCATATCGATCAGCATGGTTGGAAAGTCAATCTCAACTTCCTTGGCTTGGTCATCCTGCCCAGTTATTTTGCCTCATTAAATATAAAGAAGTAGAGAAAGGTTGAAAGTTGAAAGTACTTGGTCTTCTTGTTTCCTGCTTGTTCTTACTAATGCTACTAGTTTCCTTCTCCTTGTGGTTTTATTCTCTTGTTCTTCTCGGCGTCTGACTCTTCCATTTAAAATGCTAAGCATAGCCCTTGACCTCATTCCTGTTTATGGTGTTAAAGGCTAGTGGTTGGTGCTGGTATTGGGAGTCCACTATACAGTGCGTCCTTACCTGTCCAGGGCATCCAGCCTGCTCTTTATCTAATAAAAAGGCTACTCTTGGCAACCAATCCCAGGTGGGCAGCTAAAGTCACATGTTACCAAATATATAACTCCCTTTACCTCAAGTCAGTTGCCCAGCTCCCTATCCTTTCATCTGTAATGTCTTAACTCTTCAGGTTTCTTACCTCAAAATATTCCAGTGTTCCTCCTGTACTGTCTCCTCTTGAATCCAAGCAGAATGTATGCCAAGTTTCTTGCCTTTAGCAATTTCTGTTAAGACATCCAAGTACACTGTTTTCCTCTTAGAATTAAATTATTTATTAAATTTATAGAATCCAATAACTGCTTTCTCTAGCTCTGGCTATACTGTCAATAAAAAAAAAATCAAAGCAAGAACTTGATTTTTTTTTTTTTAATCAGACATTCTCAGATGGGCAAGGCCAAACATGATCAGATTTTCTTACAAATCCTCACCTAAGATTTGAGTACAGCTGCAAAGGCCACTTGCAGATGCTCCTCTTCTAACCACAGTATGCTAACAGCCACTCATAGTTTTAAGTTTGCCTCTTCTGGCTGAAGACTGAGCGATAACCTCCCCTACTACCACGTCCTACCAATATCAAAGATCCATAAATACTTAATAGTATTAGAATAGTTTTCAAGCATAGAATTCCAGCTAATCTGAGAATATTCCTTTTTTAGAGTATATCCCAAGAACAAATGAAGTAGATGTAGTTGCAATCATTTTATTCAGAGAGTTCATTTGATGGATTCATTAAGTGGTGCTAAAAATAAGTTTTGGAAGATGCTGGTCTCATTGTCCTTAGAGACACCTGGTTTCCAAAAACAACTATAGAGCAGCAGGAAGGCAGCACAGTGAGCACAGTGGTGGCTAGAGACTGCAGAGCTAACTCAGTAGTCTTGGACATTCTCCTTTAACTCAAGCAGGCTGGAATCTCCCTGTATGACTGGAAACTGTTCTAAGTTAGCAGCATCAAATAGCATCCCTTCATGATCTTTACCCTTTAAAAAAAATGCCTCAGAAAATCAGACAAAAACACTGATGTCCCAACTCTATTCCTAGAATGTGCCCCTACAATTTTGGTGCTTCCTCAAGCAAGAAAAAGGGATATATCCCCAAAGCTAGCTCTGCCTCAAAGCCTAGTGGCTCTGGCAAACCTACTATCCCATACTAGGCTTTGGAGTGTAAAAAAATGAGTGTGTGGTACTCCTGCATGCTTAACAATCTCAGCTTTTTAGGGGACACTGACTGATAGTCTCCAAACAAATAGCTAGAATCTTCTAAAATAAAGACAGACTGCTTTAATCAGAAAGTATTCATGTCATCTGGCCACTTTCTGTCCACTGTTGACCTCCATCACAGCACCAACCACTAGTACATAATCCCAAACGGTCTTTTATCACACAAATCCTTGTTAAATATATACACTACTGCAATCCCTACTTCTGACACAACATTTGTATTTAATAAAAATCTTTAGTTATCAGATCTTGAGGATTAGTTTCATTGGCTGTTCTGCAGAAGAGAAACTTGACCCTTAAAGCTCTTGGTAAAATGACATAGTCATCCTTTAAAGCATTGTTTATATAAATGCATTTTATTGTCTTTAACAGAACAAAAGAAGAGGCAGAAAATATTTGCATATAATAAATCCTAGTTTATAAATGTAGGTTTTTTTAGTGGTAACATCTCTAATGATCATTGCAGACAAAAAAATTTTTTTTAATTTGTTTCACTGTGTCTTGAGCTCTGATATTAGAGAAAAGCACATCTGGCATAAAGTGTAACCCAGTGTCTCCAAACACTGGAGGAACCTGGAGAGCAAACATGACTTTTCTTATTTCCTCTAAGTAATCTTTAGTAAAACAAAAGGTGATCTTTGGCATAGAGTCATACTTTAAAGGCATTAATATTGCATTTATATAAGAAAGCAACTATACGCATATGCTGAGGACCTTGAAAATAATCTTCATCAGTTAAAAGGAAATAAGAAAGCCTGAGTGTACAGGACCAACTTAAGACAAGTTCTCCACATTAGGAACACATATTGGGACTGGGAAGGAGGGACATTCAAGCAAGGGTTCTTATTCCTTTGCTCACCTGGTTCTGGCTTTGGGAAGAAATACCATTTCATGTGCTAGGGAATGCTCAATCAGCAGTGATTAAGTGCGAAAAGGGAAAAGTTGCCTTCTTTCTGACTTTGTCTAACAGGAAACTTACTACAGTGATAATGAAATATTATACCCATTATACTCTAGAACGGTCATACTTGGGAGAGGATGCCGTGGGCTTGGTTGTAGTTGGTTGACGGGAGGCAGGAATAACAGGAGTTATTTCCCCTTGAATTCAGAGGCACTCTCCCTTAGGTACACAGTGTCCTTCGGACAAGATTCCTTTCCATTAAATGCACTAATTCTTAGGACTGAATTTCGAAAAGATAAAAAGAATATTTTAAAATTACAGATGAACAAACACCTATATAACTTTAAAATCTTGTTTATGAAAGGTATGAGGGAAGACTACAAAAGTCATGGTAAGAGACATGATTTGGTTAAAAATTAAATGCAGCACTTCAGCTCAGAAAGAACAGCTGAGAGCTAAGAATGAATAAGGCCTCAGCGCGAAGACCTCTGCAGGCAGTGACAAAGCATGGAGAGCCCGGGAGTGACCCCACTGGGAGGCCGGGTAGGACCACACCCTGGCTCCTCTGCCCCTCCAGTAGCAGAGAGCACCAGCACACAGTGTGTTTGTGGGATTGGCTACCTTGGCAGGCCGAGGCAGGATATGGGACAGGAAGTTTCCATAGCACAGACAGCTCAGGGGCACAGTAAACATGGAATCGTGATCTGTGAGTACCTCCTGACAGTAAAATTTGGTTTGGATAGTGTGAGAGTCTAGAAGGATTAGCTTGAGGAAGGGCAAGAGATGGGTCCAGACCCCTAGGCTGGGGCTCCTCAGAGGCTACCTTCTCGAGCAGCAAGCTCACTTCCACAAAGACCCAGGTAGCGCAGCCCAGGAAAGGCAGGTAGGGTCAGCAGCAACACGGAAAGCCCAAAACCATTTTTGGAGGCACAGTGATTTCCTTCTTAACTGAATCGCCTGGGCTCTGGGTCTTGGGAGCCTGATGGGAGGATGAGGACCAGTAAAATGCAAACAGAAAGGGAAATGTCCCCTAAAGAATAAGGGCAGAAGAAGTGTCTGGCTAGTGTTCACTTGGATTCTGAGCTTAGGTGAAGTCCATGGGCTAGAAACCCATGCCTACTGGGATAGAGTGTGCATGAATATAACTGTGTTTTGAGAATACAGGCTTTATATGGAGACACATCTCAAAGTGTCCATGACAAAAAAGTATAAATGGTTTCTAATATGAAGAGGCCTCCATTCCTTTCTGATGTCAGGCCAGGTTGTGGCATTCAAGCCCCAGCAACTATGGGTGGCTCCTGGGCCTTGATCATTTTCCTTCTATTTAGTAGGGGTTTCTGTGCCAAGCATGTCCAGTTAGGTGCCTACTGGTACCAGGGAGTCTTTCTAACCCAGCGCAGTGTAAATCCAGCATCTGTTCGAATTTTGATTGAAGCAGCTTCTGCTTCTCGCACAGTCTCCTTCACAGACTGCATGAGGTTCTGAGCATTGTGAACCAGCATCTCTGTGGCCTGCAAGGCAAGAGGAGCTCTGTTATTTCTACTCCCTGATTCGGCCCTGCCTCCAAAATAGGGTTAAGCCTGGAGTAGACTGCAGTTAATCCCACATGAGCCCGGCATCCCCCTTACTTGCTTGGGTCACCAAAAAGAACCCAAAACTGGACCATCACTGATTGTGTACTGTGCCTTCCAAAAGCCTGTACCATATATTTTCTTGGTCTTCAAACATGTTCTTCCCTCAGAACTCTGGTTAATCCTCCCAGTTATCCCATGGCTACCCCCTCACCTCCTTCAGATCTGTACTCAATTGTTAACTTGGTGAGATCTCCCCTGCTCGGATTATTTTATACCTCAAACTACCTTCCCAGATCCTAGTGTTCCTCATCTTCCAATTTCTCTCCATAGAACCTATCACCACTAACTGATGAACTGTATTTTACCTAAATTGTTTGGTTACTTTTGTTTATCTATCTCTATACTACAAGTTTCACAGGGCAGAGATTTTTGTCAACTCTGTTCACTATTAAAGCCAGTGTTTATAACAGGTATTTCATAAATATTAATAATTGGGAAAAGAAGCAAATGAACAGTCAAGAAAACAGATACCTCATAAACCCAGGAAAATCTTAGTAAGTTTATCTTCCAAACACAAACTTACAGGGCTGGGATCACATTGGTATCCAGCATAGAAAGTCCGCAGACTTCAAAATCAAGGAACTTAGCCCCAGGAGTTCTTAACTGTTTTTGAATTGTAGATCTTTTCAGGATTTAATGAAACCTATGGATTCTCTCCAGAAAAAAAATGTCCACACACATGACATGTGTGCCTGTAATTTCGGATTGTTCATATGGGCTACAACTTCCAACCAGTTGATCTTTTCACTTGGCCAACCAAAGGACTTGGGGCCCAGAGAGGCTTGGAGACTTCCCAGCCTCACTCCCACAGTAGAGACAGGATGAGGACTCGGGCTCTGTGACTTACAGTCATGTGAGTGTTCCATTCTACCACACTGCCAACTTCTTCTTTTTTTTTTTTTTTTTTTTTTTTTTAATATTTTTGTTATTTGAAAGGCAGAGTTAGAGAATGAGAGAGAGGTCTTCCATCCTCTGGTTTACTCCCCAAATGGCCACAATAGCCAAGGCTGGGCCCAGTCAAAGCCAGGAGCCAAGAGCTTCGTCGGATCTCTAAAGTACGTGGCAAGAGCCCAAGCACTTGGGCCACCCTCTGCTGCTTTACCAGGCACATTAACAGGGAGCCAGGTCAGAAGTGGAACAGCCAGGACATGAACCGAAGCCCATATGGATGCTGGCACTGCAGGCGGTGGCTTGACCCACTGCAGCACAGCACAGGCCCCAATTTCTTCCTTTTCTCTACTGGATTATTTAATGGAGCATAGTGAACATACCTGAAACACATTTCTGTTGATTAATTAATTAACTATGTGATCATGACCAAATCTCTGAGTCTGATTCTTCCTTCCCCATTTTTTTCTACCTTTGAGCAAAAAAGATCATACCATGGGGAAAGAGCCTCGTGCCCAAACTTGCGTTGGACTATGGTAGTGAAACAGCAACAGTAGAACCAAGAAGAGTAGCCTCCTTTTTCCTCTACAGTGCCTCTAGATCAGAAACAGTTGGAGTCCCGAACTACTTCAGAGTTCTCTAAAGAAAGGGATGGTGTCTCTTATTCTTTTAAGCCCTGTAACACCTCAAATATGCCCTGTGTGTGCTGGATGAACCCTGCCTGGACAGTCTAGCAGCAGATGTGCTACCTACACTAAGGTGGCCTTAAGAATCTGGCTCTGAGTAGGGTCTGTTAGAGAGAAGTAAGGAAAGGAAGGGGTGCTCAAGGGAGAGTTTTCTGAAAGACCTAGGCCACAATTCTAGGGAGGATGCTACGGAAGAAGCATCACTTAAGAGAACCTCCCAACTAAAAAAATATAAGAGAAGCACATGCTTGGAGCTTTCCTCTCAGTCTCAGCACAGGCCCGGTCACATCATGCACCTGAAAAGCCCGTACTGTTCATCCTGTGGCACTAACCCCTCTCCAGCCAAAACAACAGTGAGGACAGAGGCCCGAACCTCCCCCTGGGGAAGAGAACTGAGCAGAGTCCTCACTGTCGCTGGAGACACCTGACCTCCCCACACCCGTTTCCCATCTGTACAATGAAAACGTTACACATGAACTGCTTTTCCAATTCCAAATTCCCAGTGCATCTCTCCAGCACAGAGTGTCGCCCCTAGAGCGTGAGCCTGAGTCCATCCCATGTACTGAGTACGTGGTTCAGAGGTGAAATTTTCCCAAAGCTGAATGAAATTGCTGCAAAAAGGCAAAGACACCGCTGGCAAGAAACCAAAAGCAGCAGACACGCACCTGCTCAGACTCCTCGTCGCTGATGTTGGTCCGGCCCAGCATGGTAGCCTTCACTGTGGACAGGATTTTGAGCTGGGTACTTATAGTTGGGATTCGTTCACACACCTAAAAAGAAAGTTTCGTTTGGAATGTCCATGTTGGGCTTACCTGAACCTCCTTAAGGGCAAGCCATCCACCCTCTGGATTCTCAGTGGCTGGCATACAGAAGCCACTTAGTAAATGAGCAGCAAAAATCACTTGTTTTTATCCCTCAGGTTAGTACGGTCCCCTTTATCCAAAAAAGGGAGCATTCAAATTCTTTTCATTTGATTAGGATATAAATGTTCCTGAGTCTGTCTTCCCCAAATACACAAGTGTGTTAGTGTATTTCCCCTTTCTGCCATTTCTTTCCACCACTGTTCACACAGTTTTCTTTCCTGCTTTTCTTCCTCCCACACCTTCTACACACACATAGCCTCTTTTCTTTTCCCAAG